TATATATATATATATATTCCATTTGTGGTTTTAGGTTGTTGGGGCTTTTTTCCTAAATTGTATTGATCTTGTATATTAAAATTCAATGAGTATATGGAGTCTGTTCATCACATGTGATCATACCATAATATCTGAAATTTCATAATATTTCAAATAACCATTCAGAAGGTTATTTATCTGTATATGCTACAGTAGTGCTCACCAACCCTAATTCCTGGAGCCATGGGTCAGAGCATAGTTGCATGAGAAGCTGCACAGAAGGGAAAGCTGGTTTACAGCCCAGGAAGACTCGCAATCGAGTCTGGACTGCAGGAGAAGAGCTAGAGACAGAGTACCGAGGGAATGATGAGGCAAAGCTGGTTGCAGCATTAGAGGCTGCAAGCACAGCGCTCCAGAAGCTTGACTGTTGACATGTTTTTCACAAGGATCATTGAAAAAGGAAATTATAAGGAGATGGTTAATTGAGGTTAATAAGATAAATTCCTGTATTTCAGTTTTGCTCTTGTTATATTTATCTACTCTTGCCTCTTCTGTAATACAGGCAGTGAACCTCACGAAGTAATGTCTGCCTCCAGACAATAAGCCTACTTGACCCAGAGCATCCCTGTTAGTTAGATATTTAGCTTGGTTAAAAAAGACCCCAAGTAATGGTGATGCCACCAAATCTGAAAATTATGCCAGCATCTCATTGCCATCAGGGTTACCAGCCTCTGCCTTGTTTCTCATTTAGCTTTCTCGTAGCTTTAGCTTTCTGTCTTTTAATGTCCTTTTCTCAAGATTTAATCTATCAGAAGACTCTTCCCCATGTAGGAACTTGTAGGCTATGACAAAGTCGTGGAAAAACTTCCCTTGGAAAAAGTAAGTAGATGGAGTTTCATTAGTCATTCACTACAAAGGATGTTTTCCAGACCTGAAATCATTCTTGTAACTCTTTTCTGAACACCTTCCAATTTTCCAACATCCTTGCTAAAATGTAGACACAAAAACTGGAATCAATACTGTAGTAAGGAGCCTGCTAAAACTGAACACCGGTGCAACACATCACCTTATTCCTGATCAAAACTACCTCTACAACTCTCATAGCCACAGCATTGCCCATTTTTAGCACAGCCTTTTTCTTTTTTTGGTAGTCTCATAACCTTTTGATGGGGAGGGGGAAAAAAAAAAAAAATCCCCTGAATTTTAATTGTGACCTGCTTTTGTCAGTTCAAGAAATACAATTTTGCTTTCAGGTGTATGTGTTTAGATGAACACCTTAGTATGTAATCCATAACAATATAATCAGCAAAAGGCTTTCACCATCATTTTTTAACCAGTTTTGTATTTTACCAGACGTGTTAGTCTTTCCTTCTTTTCTAAAGGTATTCAGCATGGAGCAAAGCTTTCAACACCTGGTTCACAATACTTCCTTGATGTGATAATCTGCTCTTTGCAGCGATATGCCCTCCTTCCTAGTGGCTGGGTACTCAGCTTCTAGTGAAAAAATCTGAACCCAGACTGAGGGGCAAGAATTGTTACAGTATGTGAGAACAGACAAAATTCTTCCAGTACTAAAGATGCTTTGGTGAAGCCTTCATTTAAGAGCATTTGATGTTGCCAACTCTTAGGATTTTTATGTTGGTGTTACGCATTTTGGAGGAGTCTTAAAGCTTCAGCTCTCAGCAGTTTGTAATTAGTTGAACGTGAATACTGTTGCTTAAAAGGAAAATTCTATCTTTCCTTGAAAACACCTTTATTGTTTGCTAGACTCAAAAAAACACGAATAGCAAATAAAGATAATTCACATCTATATTACCATCGTGGGACTTTTGCAACAATGTCATGATTGCATAAGAGTTAATCATGGCATTTGAGTGATAATTTCAAGTATTCCTCATTCAAACATCAGGGCCCCAGCCTGTATTTTTTTGTGTACACAGGACTCCTGGTGATTTCAGCAAGAGCTGGAAGAGCTGTGGGAGTGATCAACAGGGTGCCAGATGGCCACGTGTTACTTTTCCAGGTTAAACGTCAGCATGTAAATACAACAATTAGATTTTTTCCTTCAGTGGGTTTCAAAATCAGAATGCAGCAGAGAAAAAGTTATTCTTATTTTTTAACTCTATAAATAGTTGTTATTGCAGCTTGAGCTGTAAGGTCTATGCAGTTGACCTTTTTGACAACATGAAGTTGTACAGAGCATTTTAGTTATGGTTTCTTAAGGGTTTTTTTTTCCATATCTGAAAGGAAAAAAAAGAAAATGTTTTGATAGTAAAATTGTAA